ATTTAGCAAAGGGGGAAATGTTTATTACAGTCGTCGTCTTCGAAAGTTACTGGTGGTGCCCTGGTAGGTACGGACCAGCAAACCTACTCCTAACCCGATTCCGACACAGACACTGAGGCCGATTCCGACACCCAACCCTCACACCGGCATTGAACCAAGACAGCTCCCCATCTTCATCATCAAAATAATCCACCCCTGAATACATATAGCTGTGTTCTTCATCTTCTGATTTATGATTCAAGCAGTCCGGTATCTGTAAAAGAAATGAAAAGCAGAATGTTAAGTCAGACATACATTGTTGTGATTCAAGTATATGAACACATCATTATGGTTGGCACTATCAAAGTCACTACGTAAAAAAACCCTTTATTATTTCTTCATTCACAGACCGGGAATAGACAACAGGGTTGCAGATGCTCGGTTCGAGCTCTAGCACATTAACCTCAGGTTCAAAAGTGAAGAGGAAAGACATAACAACTCCAATATAGACATAATAGTTGAATGATTGAGTATCAAACTAGCATCTAGGAGTTAAACTGGTATGTTGGTGCATATAATTAAACTATAGTCCGAGTCACTTGTGTCATTAGCTTCCAACCAATTAACAAATCTTGGTGCCAAATTATTACTACTCAGGGATGTTTGAGACTCAGAGGATATACCTCGAAGAAGCAATGACAATACGACACAACAATTTCTACTCGAACCTTTAAGTTGTAAACAGCATGATGATATTTTAATGAGATTGTCCTCGACATGATACCTGAACCTTCTCTACCTTTTCAAAGGCAATTATATAGATCTACTATAACAGAATGTGCAGGCATTGAACAAAGGATTACTGACATAGGAAATAAGATAGATGTATGCAACGGTACCAGTACTGTATTAGGTAATGTAAACCGTTAGCAAATGTCATACATAGCTTAGTCCGATCCGAGTACTACCTTTTGAAATAAAAGTATGTACCTATCATATCGTGCTGTCTATCTGAAGGAAATATTGATTCTCAGAAAGAAGTTTCGTTAGACGATGAACAATATAGGGTACAATTTACAGCATGTGATGAATGGCTAGGATAACATATCAGCTCAGCAGCGAAGGGGGAAACATTTCTTTTGAAGAACTTGAAATTCAAATGTTAACAAATAAATACCTGCAAAGGGCTAGCTTCTTTCTGATCTTCAGTTGTGTCATATTCTGGTATCGAACCCAACACCCCTTTCATTTGTTTCTTCCGTACACTAGGCTGTAAAGTTCTAGTTAATATAATTGGACTGCCTGAGAATGACCCGGCAACATATACCTCAACTGTGGGTGAAACTGATCCTGCACTGTGATATTGTTTGGCCTTGAGAAAACCAGTGCCTGAAGTTATAGCTGATTCGCAGTTCATGCACCACATCGGGCTACTTCCTCTCGACTCTCCGGTGCAACCGTTACTGTCACACAACTCTAAAACCCCAGATAGCAGAAGAGCATCCTTATTAAAAACCTCAAATTGCACACTCCCTGTCAGCCTTATGCTATCCGTGCTCACGAAAGTGGCTTCTTCTGAGCTTTTGTCTAGCCGGTCCCTTCTAAGAAGGGTCGATGCACCATCAGAATAGATGCCGGTTCTAACACCATTTACTTCAAGAAGTGTATCGGGATTCAACGGAACATGGTTTAGAGCAAGGTAACTAGGACATGATTCATCATCAGTCTCACACTTGCTTACTCTGACATAGAAAACTCTTACATCCAGCCACCGTAACAATCCCTTAGAGAATGACCTGTAAGGAGAGTGCCTTGTAACCATGTGGCCATTACTAGTCGGTCCATTTCCGTTCGAGGATTCATAAACCCTCTCCATAAGTGTAGAGAATTTACTTGCTAAAGTCCATACAATAAATCATTCCAGAATAAAAAAGCCTGCAGGGATGAGAAAAAGGTGAAACCAAAGTAATTTCATGCAATTGACATTGACAAACCCAGAAACAGCATAAAGCCATAAAAGATAGATGTGGAAGATGAATTTTCCATTGAAAACAATCACGAAACCTCTAAAGAAGGAAAATAGAGTAGGAAACGTGAAACCCTGAAGTTACAAAGATGAATTTCTGTATATTTTCTGCAGCAATTGAACTGAGAAACAAACGGCAATTCAAGTATTGGCAGAGGCAATATGAGGGTAATTCTTACCAAACTAAAGTAGAAGCAAGAAAAGATAAAGAAGAGATAAGAAGATGGGCAAATAAGGAGAAAAATCCAAAAGTTCCACAGTGTTTTAAGCCTAAACAAATAATTACTGATATAAACAGAAAAATGAAAAGACAACCTTAAGTTCCAATCCCATAATTAACTAAGCAATACAAAAAAGGAATCATCTTTTGGCCTTTTGTTTATCAGTACGGATTAGAGATCAACGAATATTAATTAAAGGGAAATCGAAATTTATCAAAAGGGAATTGATTACATCAGAGAAAAGAACAAAAGCAAGAATACAAATTATTCACATATTCAACTATCTTTCTATCCTTTTCTCTTGATTTGTTATATACATTTAATGCATGCATCATGCATGTATGATGGTCTGATCACCGCGAAAACATCAAAAACAAAAATGGGTTAACTGAACAGAATCCCGAAAATCCGGATCCTAAATGGTTGAAAACTCTAAGAACAATTAATGAAGATCCGAACCCAGGAAAACAAAAAAGCCCAGCTTTATATTGAACTTCAAAAAGCTGAAACCTAATCAGAACCTGAACTGAACCCCGGCCATAAAAACCAGACTCGAGACAAACTTACCTCAAATATCAAACAAAGCACGAACGCCAGCCGAAAACAATCGAATCTGGTGTCTACTTCAGTGATGATTCCCGATTCCCTTCTCCTTAAATAAAACAAAAGCACAGCTTTTGATTTTCGGAAGAGACGAATCTTACAGTAGCAAATTACCGAACAAAAAACTACCCAAATTAATAAACAAAAATTCAATTAAATCAAAGAAGAAATAGCAACAACCCAAGGGATCAAATTCAGCAAAGAAAACTGGGTTGTTCTCGTTTTCCTTTCATTTCCCAGGGATTATAAGTTTTTTTATTTTGGATAAAATGATTATTTTTCGAGTAATAAATTCTAGAGTGGGGTCAAAATGTATCGGAAATCCTACAGATCTTATCCTAGAAGGAGAATAAAACGAAGGCTCGATGGCAAATGTGTGGAAAACCGAGTTTACCCAAGCCTTTTCTCAATAATGAATTTGGTTCTTGCAAGTCTCATTCATTTTCATCTATGGAAGTTTTGCCTAACAGAGACTAATTTGAATGGTTCTCAAGTCAACAACTATTTTGTTAATGTTGTTGTCTCTATTAACAGATTTTTTAAAAGATTTAGCTTCGATTGGTTGGTTGGATAGATGAATACGGATATTTTCACATTTGATTCTTTCAATCTTCATTTTCCTTTTCCCAAGCAAAGAGAGCGCAACGTCAATTATTTTTTTTAAACGAAAAGTTGTGTATATATAAAGGTTCTACTATTATATAATTCATTATATTTTTAATTAAAAAACTTTTTAAAAAATATCAATTTGAACTTCTTTAAATGTTTCATTGTTTTTTTAAGAGAAAATAACCTCAGTGACCAAAAATCCCAGATAATATACGATTTTGACCAATTTTTTTTGGATTTACGAAAATGACCAACAAAATCGCAATGCGATCTCTAAATCGCAACGCGATCTCCATCATCGCAAATTCGCGTTGCATTTCGCGTTGCGATAGTTGAAAATCGCGTTGCGATTTTCCATTTCGTGTTGCGATAGTCTACAGTTGTCGTTGCGATTTTCCAAATTCGTTGCGATTTTGTTTCTTAAGAATTTTCTCTAAAAAGATAGTATCCGCGCGGACGTGTCGAAGACACGTATTACCACGACCACGACCACGAGACGAGACGAGACGGACGGCGGCGCGCGAGAGTCCCCCTTGTTCTCTATCACTCAACAAGGAAGTGGGAAAGCCAAGCCTTAAATATCATTCCCAATAGTGTTTCCAATACAATGTGGGATTGAGCATTACCAACACTTGTTTCCAATACAATGTGATTATTCAGGAAACAATTAACAATCATGCACCTTAAAACAACTGAATCAACAACCAATTACATTAGTATTATACGATTAAATATGTCATAATTAAAAGTCAATCTACAATCAATCGCGATTATTGTAATTTTAAGCAAAACATTCAAAAATAATATCACTATTTAAGGCTCAATCCCACATAGTATTGGGAACAAGTGTTGGTAATGCTCAAATCCCACATAGTATTGGAAACACTATTGGGAATGGTATTTAAGGCTTGGCTTTCCCACTTCCTTGTTGAGTGATAGAGAACAAGGGGGACTCTCGCGCACCGCCGCCGCCGTCCGTCTCGTCTCGTCTCGTCTCGTCTCGTCTCGGGTCGGGTCGGGTCGTGTCGTGTCGTGTCGTGTCGTGGTCGTGGTCGTGGTCGTGGTCGCAATGCGAAATGCAACGTGAATTTGCGATAGTGGAGATCGCAATGCGAATTAGAGATCGCATTGCGATTTTGTTAGTCATTTTCGCAAATCCAAAAAAAATTGGTCAAAAATCCTATATTATCTAAGATTTTTGATCACTGAGGTTATTTTCTCTTTTTTTAATACCGACAAGGTTCCATGGTCCAGTTGTCAGGACATTGGACTCTGAGTCAAGTAACCGAGTTTAAATCTCGGTGGAACCTTCTTGTTTCTGCAAATTCTCTCTCATTTAGAAATCATCTAATTATTGCTTTAATCCCTCTACAATACTTAAATCCTTCTCTTTTAATCCAGTAAAAGTTGATCTTGATCACACTGTCATAACAATGTGAAAATTCACTTCCATTGCCCTCTTTGTGTAATGTAAGTTTTCTCACCAAACTTGCATGCAATTTTGAGATGACCGAATTCAAAGGACAACAAATACTGTATACATACACAAAAGAATCTCTCGTTGATTTTCATGTCATTTTTTCCCCAGAACAGCTGAAAATCTGATCTTGAATGAAGCAATCCTAGAGAATTACAATTTACATTTCACAAAAGGACCACAAACACAAACTCAAATCGCATAAAAACTGTAGCTTGCTCTTACCCTGAAACAAGCTGTCAAACAAATTCGAACCACTGCTTGTCAATGGTTCCCCCATCACGCTGTCCACGGGATCGACTACACGAAACTCTGTTGTTTTAATAAATATCTTACGAAGATTTGTGCATCCTAGGAGCCCTTCCGATGCGATGCAAAAATATCACCTTGGAAATCCTATTTACCTATGAAGGGCTTCATCGGGTGCTCAACCAAAGCAGGCACTCGAATGGGAAGCCTGTCGTCTTATTAAGAAAGAATAACAATTTAACCTCTCTGCTAGTAGTGATCCTGCCGTTCTATATCTTGTTGTGGCTCAGGTGGCTCCGGGCATATCTCCCTTGAATGCCGTCTACGTGAAGAAGAATGGTCACCTCCACCATTCTGAGCGCTGCCCTGTGAACCCGTTGTTACCGAGTGCTTGAAACTACTTCCCCCTTCAGCTTTAGTAGTGGAGGCTGCAGGATTATTGGCTACGTCCAAGGAGCTTTGACGCCAGCTACCGAAAAAAGAAGCATTCCAAGATCCTCTCGAGGAGGTTGTTCTAAGCCTTGCTGAACTTGAAGTGTCTTCCCTAACCACCCTCAAAGGGTTTTCCAAAGCTTTTAGAATATATCTCATCGGCGGCCGTCTTGAAGGTTTCGAATTAAGACAAGACCTCGCAACAATGGCCATGGCCCAGACTTCCTCCAACAGATCGTCGTCCACAAGAAGAGATGGGTCCAGAATTTTCGTCACAAGTTCCTTTTCATATACACTGATGCATAGTAGTGTTTGTTCTAACCATTCCTTCATCTGGGTATCACTCGATGCACCGATGTCCATCTTACCGGTTACCAACCCAAGTAAAACTTTCCCAAAGCAGTACACATCGTAGGCACATATTGCTGTAGATGAACCTGTCCAATTGTACAAAATGAAAAGAAATTTCAGAAAAGCTTTCAGATTTGATGAGAAATGTTTTAACATTAATTCTATGCTCAAATTTACTAATATTCTTCGTGTGGATTTTTTGGTCCGAGTAATTATGTATTTATTTGGTAAGTCTGACTGAGTAGGTATATCACGGCAATAAGCTGCCGATCTAATAAAAAGTGGGGACGTGAGGAAGGAAAGAGTGGTTGATTTTTGAGGTAGAATGATAACCGGGCCCGAACGTAGAATGAAAATGGTTGCTTATAAGTAAAACGGCCGAATACATGCAATGATCATGTTGGAGCTAAAGTGCAATGTACGATAAGTCGACGAATAAACTGCTCGGAGATAACAATTGAGATCTAAATATTCTCGTTTTTTACAAGGGAAATGTGCACATACCTAAAGAACTTTGCTCAGATGACCTGCACGCGAGAAAGAATAGAACCGCATTACAACCTTTACCGATTAAACAAGCATAGAAAGCAAGAAATACAACTCGAACATTTCGTTTGAAACAGTAATAAAATCCATAAGGAGGAAATGAAGACGGAAAAATTTTAAATGCTATTTTATAATTACTTCTCGATGCATATGTGTCTGGCATTGCTACAGCTTGAAGCATCTAAATATCCATGTATCATTGATCCATATCAAAATATAAGATTTTTATTCGACACTTAAAATGCCAGAACTCTACTGTATCGGACGTTAAAACCTGAACTTGGGTTTATCCTTTTGAGTCAAGGAAACACGCTTGCATCCAGGAAAAAAATATGCAGGGGAAAAGAAAGAAGTAAATCTCAGAACCGAGCAAATAAGAAATATAGGTGGACTTGAGTGTCTAAAAGTTCATTCATGAGACACCATGTTCTATTAGTCCTTTGTTTCTAGCTAAAACATAGAACAACGTAGAAGTACTGCACTGTTGAATTATATTCTCCATCTGAAAACTATGAGACATTTTAGTCCCCAGCTTCATTTTGCTAAAAAGGATTAAGTGTTGTTCATTATTGTGTAGGAAACACCCCCCTCCCCCGGGGGGGTGCTCGATAAATATTTGCATAAAAATGAAGCCAATAAAGTGATATACCACAATCAACATGCAAGAACTTGCTCAATGAACATCTTAGGCGAGATAAAAATGTTCATCTATGTATATAATTCGCATTCTGAAAACATCTATAAATAGATACAGTTGTACAGAATACTTACTGTGGCAACCGCAGTAATTTTGTGATCCTCTTTTGATGACCATCACCTTCATGTGCGCAGACCTCTGTCAGGCTCCCCATTCTAACTTCAAATTTATCATCAAGAAGTATACTGCTAGCTTGAACATCTCTTCAACAATAAAAAGAAAACACGTCACTGCAAGTTCTTTTCGGTTTCTCGATATTCCATTCACAAAGAATATATGATACGCATAAGAAAAGCATCATGCAGTGACTGAAGGCAGTTTAAGCGTAAAATGAGAAGATGCAAAAATACCTGTGGACAAGGGGTGGTGTACATTCATGATGCAGATAAGATAGGCCTTCTGCGGCTCCTATAGCAATTTTCAATCTTGTTATCCAATCTAATGACTGTAAACTATCATCCTCCGGATTATTTTTCCTGTACAACGAACTTGACAAGTCCCCATTCGGCATGTATTTATAAACCAAGAATTTCTCATTCTCTCTCTCTAAACAGTGTCCCAATAGAGGAACGATTCGTGGATGTGAAACTTTACTAAAGAACTCCAATTCCGAAAGGTACGCTTCCTTTTTAATCGACTGCAAATCAATCCTTTTGATGACAACAGGAAGCCCGCCTTCTAAGATACCCCTGAAAAGATCACCAGAATGACCGTGCTTGATGAGGTTTGCATCAGTAAAATCACCAGTGGCTTCAAGAAGCTGCTGGTAGGCAAATAGATCACCTAGACTCGAAAAATTAATTTCAACTCCCGGTGAAGGAGGTGTATCTTTAGCAGGAACTGCTCCCACGTCAACTCCTCTATGATTCCTTGTGCTCCTCCTTTTAAGGACACATAGGACCAGCAATAGCAGCAAGATTAGTAGCGCAACAAGCCCAGCTCCTCCCAAGACTGCAGCCAATATAATTGTCTTTCTGTTGCTGCTTCCTCTTTCGGATGCAGGAGGTTCTGTGGAATTTGGGCGTCCGAAATTATCAAAACTCAGGCCCCTCTCGGCATAGAATGATACACACTGCATTAAAGTCCTCTGGCTTGACACATTCTGGAGACAGTTAGTAGTAAGAAACGCATTGTTCTGCACATAGTCCGGAACCGTGCCTTCAAAATAGTTTCCAGACAAGTCAATAGACCTAAACCTTCGAAGGACAGTTGTGAGACCTCCATAAAACTTGTTCTGTGAGATGTTAAGTACAGCAGCAGTGGCATTATCATTCAAAGTAGAATTAGGCAGCTGCCCTGTGAAATTATTTTGGGAGATATCGAACAGGTTCAGCTCACGTATTGACCATAATACTTCAGGAACAGTACCATTGAAACTATTGTTTCTCAGAACTATAACCTGCAACTGACTTGAGGCAGGGAACAACCCGACCGGCAGAGACCCCTGAGACCATTGTTCCCGAAGACCATTCTCCGCAAATTCCTTAGCCCTCTAAGATCTGGTGGCACTGACCCTGACAAACCATTGCTGCTGAGATCAAGGTCAACCAAGCTATCAAGGTCCCCAAGTTGTGAAGGTATTGAAGACGTTAAACGATTGCTCGAAAGATTCAAACTTTGTAGCTTTGAAAGCGATCCAACACCAGGAGGAATTGACCCCGTTAAGTTATTCGAGGAAATGTCAAGTCTTGTAAGATTCCTTAGTGAAAAAAGTGATGATGGAATAGATCCAGTGAGCAAGTTCTTGGAAAGATCAAGAAGTAAAAGGCGTAACAACCAACCCAAAGTTGAAGGAATCTGCCCGGTCAGCCTATTATCAGACAAGTAAGACCAGTTAAATTAGTCAAATTACCAATACTCAAAGGTACAACACCTGAGACATTGCAAGACCTGAGATCCAACACTTGCAATGTCAACAGCCTTTGGCCGAACCAATCAGGGATGGAACCAGGAAGCAAGAATCTAGAAGCATTAAACGAAACCAAATGCGTAAAATTCGCAAGCGAATCTACGGCAAACTGCGGGTTTTGTCTGCCAATCCTTGTTCTTCTAAACCCGGAAATGTTAATGGAAGTAACACTGCCATTCTCGCATGTTATACCGTTCCAACTGGCACAAGGGTCAACTTTTCTAGGCCAGTCTCTGCTTCTAAGCCCCAAAGAGGACCTGAGTTCAAACAAAGCAGTAAACTCAATGCCTGAACTCAGCCGCTGCTGCTGCTGCACTTGTTGCTCAAATGTAAACTCAAATAACAGCAACAACAAGAGATATAGCAAAGCTACTACTCCTATGCTACGCTGATCCAACATGGCTCATGGATTCTAACTCTAACCCCGAATCATCAAAAACATTCTAATTTCTTTTCTTTTTTCTCCCCCCTTTCTCCCTACTCTTAATACATGTAATGAAAATTTGACCCCCAAAAACCCCCACTTTAGAAGGAACAAAGAAAAAGGAATTGTCTAGAAAAGCTCTTACCTTTGATGCACCAAAGCTCTAATTTTTTTTTGAAAAAAAAAAATCTTCAAAACTGTTGGTAACCAATCCGTATCAACTTCGATTCTCCTTCTTGGCTCTCTCTCTCTCTCTCTACCTACTTTTTTGTTTTCTCTCTCTAAACCTTCAGTTTCTTCAGTTGACAAAAGGAGGGGGGTGAGGGACAGAAAAGAAGGGGGAAATGGTTGTAGTAGTAAATAAAAAGTACTAAATTTAATTTAATTAATCAATAATTCTAGAGAGACAGGAGGAGGAGGCCGGTCAAAAACTCAAGTGATGCACTTTTCACTCTCTCTCTTGCCCTTTCCATGTTCCACCAAAAAAAATGATTGAGGTAAATATATATATAAATATAGTAACATGCATGAGCAGTGGGTAAAGTTTAAACCGGAGGCAATTTTGATTCTGGTCTGAGAACAGAGACATGTACGGCGCCGATACGAGTTTTGTCTGAACTCCGGCAAGCCAGCAAAGCAAAGCTTTAGAACTAGAAGGAACAAACAAAACTTACTGCACTACACTGTAACTTCTCTTTATTTCATTGCCTCAGGGGCTTCTCATGTTACTTTGTTTCGGATTCGGCTCTCGTGTTATTTTGTTTGTGTGTGTGTTTTAGTTTAGAAACTCATCCTAATACAAGAAAAACCCCAATTACGTAACAATTAAAATGTTAAAGTATTGTTAATTAGTTATTATGAGGATGCCCATATCGGTATTTGTAAATATCAGATATTATTTAAATAATTTCATTATTAATAATAATTAAATGAGAATGTCTTCTCAATCAAAACAGTATATTCAAAATAAGATTACGTTAATAAGAGTTTAAGACAAAGAATTTTTATTATATATTCCATTGAATATAATAAAAATGGATAATTATTATAAGAATTAATATAATCGATTTGAATTTAAAAAAATATTTAATGGTTTAAGGGATAAAAAATAATGTTAATTTTTAAAAGATTTAAATTTAAATAATTATATTTTTATATTATATTAAATATTAGTTAATTAAAATTGAATAAGTATTATTTTAAAATCATTTTAAAATATTAAAAATTAAAATAATTAATGAATTTATTATTCCTATAAAATAATTGATTGATTTAACTTCATTTGATTTGATCTAAAAATTAATAATTGATGATTTAACTTAATCACATGCAAAATCATTCTAATTATTAATAATTGATTTGGTCAATTTTTATTTATTAAATCAATTAAATTGATTTAAACCGAATTTAATCCACCCATGGCGATGAATTGACGTAGATAGAGATGAGCATTCGATCGAGTCGAGTCTAGTCTAGTAAAAAAATTGAGTTATTCGAGTTGTTGAGTCTTATTTTACAACTCGAAATAGACTTTAAATTTTTTTAAGTCGAGTCGAATTTTTGAATTCCTGATTAAATTTAATTTTAAACATTTATAGTATATTGATATTATTTTATTTCAATTTAAATGATTTTTTTTAAAACATATTCATTTCATGTTTTTCCATATGTGATATATATATATCATACAGATTCGATGGACTCAATTCAAACTTTGAAATTAATCTAATAATTACTAAAAAATTTGAATTATTCGAGTTGTATTTTACAACTCGATTTGAACTTAAATTTTTTCAAGTCGAGTTGAGTTTATAAAATTTCAATTCAAAATCAATTCAAATCGAGTTTTCTTAAATTAATTCGAGCCAAAAATATTAATTTTTGAGTCGAATTTTGTTCTACACGGCCTTAGACGTGGGGCTGAGATGGGTTTATTGAGGCAGTAAATGACATTGCTTTCCTTAGTCAAACACTTAGGCCACCCAATTTGTTTCCAAGTTCAACACTTTTGTTGGCTTTTCCTAGGATAAGAACATGGATAAAAGTTAAAATTGGATCCTAAATGTCCATTTTATGGTTATTGTGGGGTAACAGGTTAGTGTAGGATGAGTACAATTTGATTTTATTCAAAATATTTGATTTTTTTTTTAATTTTAAGTTATTCAAATTAGGTTAATTAATTTATTCAAGCTATGTGATTTCCTTTAAATTAGGGGTTTAGTTTTTAGTTTGAATCATATTTAAATTATTCAAGTTAAGTTAAATTAGTGATTCAAATTTTAAGTTTAAACTTGGTTTAGTTTTTTTATTAAGTTACAGTGATTATAAAATAGTATTTGTTTTAATTACTTTCAAATCATTTGATAATGAACGCTCAATCACATCGACGATGATGATCGTGGTAGAGGGATTCTCTTGCATTTCTCTTTGAGTACAAATATGGACTGAAATGGTTGCCTGCGGTGGAGGGCTTTTAAGAAAGAGAATAGACAAGAACGAGTTGTACCAAAATTGAATTTCTCATGTTTCCAACTAACCACCCCACTTTGAAGACAAATATCGCTTTTAAACGTTAAAATTCCCCGTGTGAAAGCTGATTACGAGCCGAATTTTGTACCACCAAAAATGCGTTTCATTAATTCATGCAAGAAAGATACCTTGTGGCCTGTGGAGAGATGCATCTATATAAATAAATAAAAACCCAAAATATATTATTGGAAAAGTAACCCTAAACATCATCGATGGAAAAAATACTTTCAAACTGCTTCCGACGGGTTCCGAAAAGTAACCTTAAACATCATCGATGGAAAAAATATTTTCAAACTGGGTTCCAACCCGACCTGATCGGGTAAAGTTTTTTTTTAATTCGGGTTCAGTCGGATTTTTTTAAATATAGTGTTCAGGTCGGATTCGAGTTCAGGGTGTTCAGGTCGGGTCAAATTCGGATTCGGATACGTGAACAATATGAGAGTTAGTTTTCGAATTTGTCGGGCTTTTTTTGTAATAATAAAGCCTTGCGGAGATAGGGTAGCTGAGCCGCCCTCGCCTCAAAGTTCCACCATGATTGCTCAATTTTTACCACCGGCAGCAGCATATCCTACGCTGAGAAGTTGTTCTACGCAGCAGTGTTTTTCTTTTTATTGATTGTTCAACAAGTTACTCAGGTCAACACGACAACGCACCCACGTTATTTTATTAAATCTTATTGTAGTCGTATTACTTTTACGCCTAAATTAAGGGGGAATTTTTTTTTCAAACATCAAATTTAAATTAATTTTGATTTTTGCATGTTACATTTTAATTTTTTTTTGGTAAGGTAATCTCATTTTTGGGTCTACTAACATATTTTGCCACAAATGAATTGTTTTTTATTTCCTTATAATAATAATTTTTAAAAATGAAACAAAGATTTTTTTTCTTATGATTTGAAGTTAGTAATTATTAGAATTTGAAAATGACGTGGATATCTAGAAGAGTATCGAACGTTGACTTATTCCTTCTTCCTTTTTTTTTGTCATTAAATTACGTTACATTAAGAGTGTATTTAATAGTTGAAAAATATTTTTAAAAAAAATATTTTTCAGAGTTCAACAATTGTAAATGATTTTCTTCAATGTTGTTCATTTTCTTAATTCTTTTGTATTTCTGTAAAATATTTTACTATCTGTTTTTAGTGAAATATTTTTTTTGACTTTTAACTTTAGAGTATGTTCACTCAAAATAATATTATTTTATTTATTTAATAATATAATATTTTATTATATTTTAATAAAACAATAATTATTAAAGTATTTAATATATATATAATATAATTTTAATAATATAATATTTTCAATATTGTATTACTATATACTCAATTATATTATAATAATATATGATATTATATTTTTATTTAATAATATATAATAAATTATTAATATAATTAATATTATCTATTATTTTTACAAAAATAATATTATCACATTATTAATAATAAATAATATTAATTTATACATTTATTAGTAATATAATAATTTAGTATTATGTTAATAAAATATTAATTATTAAAATTAATGTTTAAACTATTAAATTCGACTATCGACCGAACTAAATTATCATTAATCAAACTTTTTCTTTAACCATTAATCGAACTAAATTTTTTTTGAAAATATTAATTGAACCGAACTTTGTTCATTTTACGTAAACCATTTTTCATAAAACTAAATACAATGTATCAAACAATTAGTGAAAAATGGTTTACGCAATATCATCAACACACTGTAAAATAGTTTCAGGAAACAGTTTTATAGAAAATATAATTCATTTTACGTAAAATCGTTTTCATATAATTTATTTTATTTAAAATAATTTTCGTGTAGTTTATTTTACATTAAAAAGTTTTAGGTAACTCGTTTTACATAAAAAAATCAAAAAAGTGTATCAAATTGACCCTAGATTTAGTTTTAGTCGATATATTACATAAGTGTAGTATGTCTTGCATTATTTGAATAAGTTACAACTTTGTGATATACAATAAAAGAGCATTTATTTATATAGTTTAAATCAATTAATAATTATATATATATATATATATAATTAGTTTTACTCGATATATTACATAAGTGTAGTAGGCTGCCCCCAACGCCAGGTTGAGAGCAGCTTCCGTGGAAGACCTCCGGCAGTCAAAAAAATAAAGATAAAATGCAATTCATGTATAAATAAATAAATAAATACATAGTTGAACAGTCTTCATATGCGGATCTGTAATGGGAAATAAAATCCCTGCAAATAAATCCATGCGTAAAACTCTGTGCATATAGAAAACAACGTAAGACCCGACTAAATTTAAAAAGAGGAAACATGAAGAGAATGATACACAGAAGTCAACGATAGTAGGTTATGTGGAGGAATGAAGTCAAATGGGTTAAAACCTAAACTAAGTCCGCTACCCTAGTTCTTAGCCTTCATAAATTCAAATGTACTAACCAGAATCATATTCACTCCACCTCGTGACATGCTAATTGTACTCAAGACTCTTGATACAAGTGACATAAATCTTTAATCTAATTACACACGATAATTGTAGCTATTTATCAAATAATATTAAATTAAATTTTCTCTTCTTTAAAAAGTGTTCATTAATTATTTAACAATCGTTATAGGTACATCTTAAAAACACACAATTAATTATCATTAAACTATATATAAATTGTAACACC